TACCCATCTGAATGCAGAATTCCAAAGAATAGCAAGGAGATATAAGAAAAACTTAAGTGAACAATGCAGAAAATAGCGGGAAACAATAGAATGGGAAAGACTACAGATCTCATTAAGAAAATTAGAGACACCAGGGGAACATTTCATGCAAAGATGGGCATAGTAAAGGATAGAAATGGTATGGACCATTTCTGAAGCAGTAGATATTAAGAAGAGGTGGCAAGAATACACAAAAGAATTATACAAAAGAGATCTTAATGACCCAGATAACCACGATGCTGTTATCACTCACCTAGAGGCAGACATCTCGGAATGCAATGTCAAATGTGCTTTAGGAATCATCAACACGAACAAAGCTAGTGGAGGTGATGGAATTCCAGCTGAGCTATTTCAAGGCCTAAAAGATGATGCTGTTAAAGTGCTGCACTCAATATGCCAGCAAATATGGAAAACTCGGCAGTGGCCACAGAAGTGGAAAAGGTCAGTTTTCATTCCAATCCCAAAGAAAAGCACTGCCAAAGAATGTTCAAACTATTGCACAATTGTACTCATCTCACATGCTAGCAAAATAATGCTCAAACTTCTCCAAGTGACATTTCAACATACATGAACCAAGACCTTCCAGATGTTCAAGCTGGATTTCGAAAAGGGAGAGGAACCAGAGATCAAATTGCCAGCATCCACTAGATTATAGAAAAAGCAAGAGAGTCAAGAAAAACATCTTCTTATTTACTGACTGTGCCGACTGTGGATCACAGCAAACTGTTGGAAAATTCCCAAAAGATGGGAATACCAGACCACCTTACCTGTCTCCTGAGAAATCTGTATGAAGGTCAAGAAGCAACACTTAGAAGCAGACATGGAACAATGGACTGGTTCTAAATTCGGGAAGGTGTCTATCAAGGCTGTATGTTGTCACTGTGTTTACTTATGTGCAGAGTACATCATGCAAAATGTCAGGTTGGATGAAGCACAAGCTGGAATCAAGATTGCTGGGAGAACTATCAATAACCTCAGGTATGCAGATGACACCACTCTTATGGCAGAAAGTGAAGCAGAAGGAAAGAGCCTCTTGATTAAAGTGAAAGAGGAGAGTTAAAAAGCTGGCTTAAAACTCAGCATTCAGAAAATGAAGATCATGTCAACTGGTCCCATCACTTCATGACAAATAGATGGGGAAACGATGGAAACAGTAACAGACTTTGTTTTCTTGGGCTCCAAAATCACTGCAGATGGTGACTGCAGCCATGAAATTCAAAGGTGCTTGCTCCTTGGAAGAAAAGCTCTGACCAACCTAGACAGCATATTAAAAAGCAGAATCATTACTTTGCTGACAAAGGTCCGTCTAGTCAAAGCTATGGTTTTTCCAGTAGTCATGTAGTGATGTGAGAGTTAGACTATAAAGAAAGCTGAGTACTGAAGAATTGATACCTTTGAACTGTGGTCTTGGAGAAGACTCTTGAGAGTCCTTTGGACAGCAAGGAGATCAAACCAGTCCATTCTAAAGGAAATCAGTCCTGAAGATTCATTGGAAGGACTGATGCTGAAGCTGAAGCTGAAGCTCCAATACTTTGGCCACCTGATGTGAAGAACTGACTCATTGGAAAAGACCCTGATGCTGGGAAAGGTTGAAGGTGGGAGGAGAAGGGAATGACAGAGGATGAGATGGTTGGATGGCATCACTGACTCGATGGACATGAATTGAGCAAACTCTAGCAGTTATTAATGGACAGGGAAGCCTGCCATACTGCGGTCCAATGCATCATAAAGAGTTGCACGCAACTGAGCAACTGAACTGAACTGATAAGGGGAAAGAATATAAAGAATAATAGATATCTATATCTATACCAGACCAGCTGAAATGTAAAGGATGCTGATGGTGACTGGTTCTGACCCTCAAAACTTCAATCAACTGAAGCTTGGAGTCTGCCACAGCCCAAGACCCTTAAGGAACATCTCTGTAAATTTAAAGTGTTAGTCACTCACTCATGTCTGACTCTTTGCAACCTCCTGGACCACCAGGCTCTTCTGTGTATGGGATTCTCCAGGCAAGAATACTTGAATGCATTGCCATGCCCTCCTCTGGGGATCTTCCCCACCTAGGGATTGAACCCGGGTCTTCTGCTATGGGCAGACTGCTTACTGTCTGAGCTACCATGGAAGCCTAAACATGCCTGTTCCCATAGATTAAAGCTTCCCCACCTTTGCGGTTTAGAGAGACACTGCTCTGGAAAGCTGCATGGTGCTCTCCATAGTTCTGCAAGTAATACACTTTTCCTTCCCATGAGCTTTGGCTGGGTTGTATCTTCTGGCTCAACACCCACCAAGATGTAAACTCACTTTTCTGGTAACATTTCTCCACCCAGAGTCCCAACCACCACTAGATACTAATTCTACAGTCAGTCGTCTTGCTTCCAATTCATGGAAATTGCCTTACTTTTCTGTGAGCAAATCTACCTAATGGCCAGAAACAGTGTCCCTATTTTATCTTGTGAAGCCAGTATGTGTCAAGGAAACTCAGCTCTGTGGATCCATTGTCCTCCAGTTCGATGCCTCGTTTTACAGAAAACACTTGCAAGACTTTGAGGTTTTATTTATACCTCATTTCTGAAGGCTTTTGATACCTACATTAAATACACAGATTACTCATCAGTGCCACTTCTACTTTGAGGTTAAAAATCCTCCAAGTTTTTTCTAACATAACTATTCCATGCATTGCATTTAAATATTTGACCATACATTTATTTTGTGTCTCATCAGAGTTTAGTTAATTACACCGTTTTCCCCTGAATAATGCAGTACTCACCCCATAGGCGGAGAAGGCAATGGCACCCCACTCCAGTACTCTTGCCTGGAAAATCCCATGGACGGAGGAGCCTGGTAGGCTGCAGTCCATGGCGTCGCTAAGAGTCGGCCGCGACTGAGCGACTTCACTTTCACTTTTCACTTTCATGCATTGGAGAAGGAAATGGCAACCCACTCCAGTGTTCTTGCCTGGAGAATCCCAGGGACAGCGGAGCCTGGTGGGTTGTTGTATGGGTTGCACAGAGTCAGACACGACTGAAGCGACTTAGCAGCAATAGCAGCAGCACCCCATAGGGGATCTTGCCAAAACTGGATTTGACAAAGTAGGGCACAGGTGGGCCTAGGAGAAAGTCCGGGAGCACGACTGCCATCTGGTGGAGCCGAGATTCTAGTTGAGGGCACTGGAAGGAAACATCCAGCCTGAGGACAACCCGCCCACTTGAGGATACAAGCCTGAGGCAATGCCTGAAAACAAGCAAAAAAAAAAAAAAAAAAGTCCAAGATGCGCCTGCGCACTGGAGGCTTCTTGGCAGACATGCCCTCTGAGCAGCCAATCCCCGAGCAGTTGGGTGGGGCCTCCTTCTCTCTCTACACCCTCCCAGCGCCTATTGGCTGGACTGCCTCGGTCACAACGCTGATTGGTTGCTTGTGCCTGACAGGATACAGGCCGGCTGCTCGCCCTTCACTTCGCCTCGACGCGGGAAAACTCCATGCCACTGAGCTCTGAACGAGCCTCGGGCCGGAGTTGGTAGCACCGCAGGACATCTGGGAGACTGACCAGAACGCACCCTGCACAACCCTCATAAACCCTTACCCTGACGGCTTCAAATTCCAGGGTAAGAGGCCCCAAATCCAGTCAGCTTTGAAGAACCTGGGTCCTACCTGAAGGGAGCTCGCGTCTCGTCAGCTTCAGCAACTACAAGTCCCTTCACCCCCGGAAACACCAAATCCCCTAGTGTTTTGACCCTCAAATATCTAGAGTAACCCCAGTTCCCCTCAGGCTGAGGCACCCACAGAGAGACCAAATTTCCTTAACCTCGGAGACCCTGAATACCTCAGCCTGGGAGCTCTTAAAACTCTTTATCCTCAAGACTCCCACTGTCCTGCCTGTTAGAGTCCTAAAGCCCCTTAATAAGAAACCTCCGATTTCCTCAGCCTCAAAGATCCCAAGTTCTCTAACCCTGCACATTCTACATAAACATCCCCAGTCCCCTCTGTCTGAGAATCCCAGTTCCTTCAGGTCCTGTGTCGCAGTTCTCCTCAAGCGGAGCGACTTATCCCTTAAACGTAGAACCCATGTTATGACCAGATTTTTCCGAGTTCCCAGGCGGAGATCCTCAAAATCCTTCTTGGAGAAATATTCCCTCTCCTGCACTGGAACAGAGCCCTGATTTCAGCCTGACCCCAGTCCAGCAGTTAGTGGCTTCTAGGTCTCCTCAGGACTCCCTCTGTCACCCACAGACACGTCCCGCCCAGTGCCTTTCCTCAGAGGGGCTGAATTGTAGGGGAACCATAGAAACCAAATCTAGTTCACATTAGGCTGGCCTGTCATAGCTGGTCAGGATCCGTCCATCCCATCAACACCCTCACTCTGACTTTCCCCACCTTCCTGCCCTGGACACTCCACCCAAGGAAGACAGACCAGGCTCTGGACAGTGGTCTGGGCTATCTCAGCATCTTCTTCTTCCACAGGCACCTTGGCATTGAGGCAGTCCCATGGCCATGAGCCCAAACAGGTCTCAAGAGGAAAGCACTGAGGGAGATGCCAGGAGAACAGAGCGGAAGCCCACGGTGAGAGGTGGAGGTGGCAAAGCTGGGCTCTAAGCCAGCTCTATTGGAAGGACATGGTGCCGGTCTCTGAAGGACCACAGACTGCTTGCTTGGGCAGCTGAGTGAACTTCCCTGTGACCGTACACAGGATGGGAATGCCTGGTCCTGTCTGAGACGGTGGGGTGGAGTGGGACAAAACAGGACACTAGCATCATCAACTGCTCTGTGTCCAGGGAGAGTTAGGAAAATGCTCAGTGTTTGTTCAGTTAAGCAGGACACAGGTGGGAAGAAAAGTCTTCATTCCTGTCTCACAGAGACCATCCAGTAGCTTCAGGCTACTCCCTGCACAAAAGGTGGAAGAGAAGTCAGCTCTAAGGTCTGACATATATTAGTAAGTCACTGATGGCATCTACTATTTTCCTTAGACAAAAGATGCTTTCAAGGACATTTCCATATACTTCACCAAGGAAGAATGGGCAGAGATGGGAGAATGGGAAAAAATCCGATACAGGAATGTGAAAAGGAACTACGAAGCGCTGATTGCTATAGGTAACAAGAAGTGCTGGGTGCCTGTGAGCCTGGGAAACACGAAACAGGTCTTCACCCTCAGTGTTCACTTGGCCCTCTCTTAGGTGGCTTCTTCTGCTCACAGTTTCCTTTTGTGTGGAGACTAACCTGGAGGAAATTTTTATTGTTTTGTACCAAAGTGGGGTTGACCCTGGCAGTGCAGACATCACCTATTGCCTTATTGTACATTCTTCCAGCCCATCCTACTGATTTCCCTGACTTTGTGACACTTTCCATTTCCTCTGTGCTTTTTTCCTCTTTCTTAGAACATATATCTTGCTTCTTTTCAGGTTTCAGAGCCACAAGACCAGCTTTCATGCCTCACTGCAGGCAGGTCATAAAACCCCAGGTAGATCACACTGAGGATTCTGATGAAGAATGGACACCAAGGAAGCAAGGTGAGGGGCCAGAAGGATTTAGAGGTGTCTTCAAGAAACCAGCCTGGGCTTAGGTCTCAACTGCATCTCGGCCATTAGCAAAGAAAACATAATTTTCGTCATTCTGAAGTGGTTGTGGCTAGTATTGACATAAGCCTGAATGAAGGTGAAGGTATAGGTTTTCCAGTGTAATTCTCAAAAGTTTTATGTTTAAAATTTATCATTCTTTGTAAAAAGAATTATTTTTGCTGAACATCCTTAATGAAAGGCAATTAAACATACCCTAGGTTATAAATTCACCAAAGAGATTTCTAATACTAATCTCATAATAATTCAGTTATTGGATTAAATCTCTTAGAAGAGGAAATGATTAACATATTATGTCAAGATACATTATTTATGTGTGTATAAAAAATAACACCACTTACCCTAAGGTGAAACTAATTCTTTGTTTTGATTCTTGGAAAGGGTTTGAGAGAACTATTTATTCTCCCTGATCTTTCCCACATTTCACTCACCAGAGACAGCATCAGGTAAATAAAAAATGAAGTACAACCATTATAAAATAGAAGTGAACAGCTCACTTCCTCTTCCACTGCTCAGAGACTTTAGAAGAGTTAATCTGCTTAGAGTAGAGAAGACAATTTAGATAGTTCTAGGATTCTCCATCTATGGATTTCTGCTCTCCCAGATTTTAAAAAATTATTTATTTAGTTTTGGCTGCACTGGGTCTTTGTTGCTGTGCAAGGGCTTTCTCTGGTTGTGGTGACTGGCTTCTCGTTGCAGAGCACATTCAGGCTCAGTAGTTTGTGACACACAGGGTTAGTTGCCCCGCAGAAAGTGGAATCTTCCCGGACCAGCGATCAAACCTGTGTCCTCTGCATTGGCAGGCAGATTCTCATCCACTGTGCCACCAGGGAAGTCCATCTGTTCCCTTAGGTTATCAAAACTAGTGTAAGAAACATGAAACCCAAAGGTTTTGACATGAAGAGAGATCCTTCATAGGGAATAACACCCCACGGCTCACTGTGCCTCTACACATCTTTGCCTTGTTAATTTCTGAGTGCACCCTATTGCTAACTATGTACACATTGCTCTAAAGCAGATCTGTAGAGCTTTTTCATCTTGCATGCCTGAAGCCCTGCACCTATTGAGAAACAATTCTCCAGTTCTTCCTCCTCACAGACCTTTGTGACCACGATTATATTTTCTGTTTCCATGGATTTGATTAATTTAGATACCTTGTAGAAGTGGAATCTTGCAATATTTGTCTTTTTTTGATTGGTTCACTTCACTTAGCATAATATCATCAAGGCCCATCCTTGATGTGGCATATGACAAAACTCTTATTTTAAGGCTTCAAAACATTCCATTGTGTGCATGTGTATATGATATATATATATATAAGATATACATAATCTTTACCTGTTTATCCACCAATGAACATTTAGATTGCTTCCACATCTTGCCAACTGGGAATAATGCGGCAATGACCATAGATGTGCACACGACTTATTTAAGATCTTGCTTTCAATTTTTGTGGAAATATACTCTGGAGTTGGATTGCTAGATCATACAGCAGTTCTAATTTTCTGAGGAAACTCCATACTGTTTTCTATAAAGTTTGAAAGATTTTGCATTTCCAACAATAGTGTATAAGGGTTCCAATTTCTCCATATCCTTACCAAACTTGCTATTGTCTTTTTATTCATATTGGCCATCACAGAAGGTATGAGATAATTTCCACTGTGGTTTTAATTTGTATTTCCCTATTGATTAGTAATCTTGAGCATTTTTTCATATGTTTGTTGGCCATTTGCATATCTTCTTTGGAGAAATGTCTATTCAATTCCTTCTCCCACTGTGTTAGTCAGCTCAGGCTGCCATAACAAAACAGACTGCGTGGCTTAAACCACAGAAATTTGTTCTTTTACAATGCTGGAGCATGGAAGTTTGATATCAGGGTGCCATCATGGTCAATCAGGTTCTGTTCCTGGCTTATAGGTAGCCTTCATATTGGTGTATGCTTATTAACCCCTTATCAGATAAATATTTTACAAATATTTTCTACCATCCTGTAGGATGTCTTTTCACTCTGTTCCTCTGTTAAACTCTGTGTCCTTTGCTGTACAGATGTTTTAAGATTAAGGAAGTCTCATTTGTCTATTTTTACTTTGTTACTAATACTTGTGCATTTGGTATTATATCTAAGAAATCATTGCTGATTCAATGTTGTGAAGCTTTACCCTTTTTTTTTCCCTAAGAGTCTTATCAAGTCTTACATTTAGGTCTTTAATCCATTCTGAGTTGATTTTTCTTCATGATTTAAGATCTTCATTATTTTGCATATGGATATTTTGTTTCCCCAGCGCCATTCGTTACAGGGATTAAACTTTCCATGTTGTCTTGACACCCTTGATGAAGATCATTAGACCATGTATACAAGAGTTTATTTCTAGCTGTCTATTCTGTTCCATTGATTGGTATGTCTGTCTTTATGCCAGTGGGCTTCCTCCATGGCTCAGCAGGTAAAGAGTCTGCCTTCAATGCAGGAGACATAGGAGATGTGGGTTCGATCCATGAGAAGAAGATCCCCTGGAGAAGGAAATGGCAACCCCCTCCAGTATTCTTGCCTGGGAAATCCCCTGGACAGAGGAGTCTGGTGGGCTACAGTCTAAAAGGTCGCAAAGAGTCAACATGACTGAGCGACTAAGCATGCACTTTATGCCAAAACTACACTTTTTGGTTACTGTACCTTTGTAATATGTTCTGAAATCAGAGGCCTCCAGCTTTGCTGTTCTTTCTAAGATTGTTTTGCCTATTTGGGGTCCTCTGAGATTCTGTATTAACTGTAAGATGGGTTTTTCCATATCTGAAAAAAATTCCATTGGGATTTTAATAGGAATTGCATTGAATCTTTACATTGCTTTGGGTAGTATGAACAGCTTAATAATATTGTCTCCAAATCCACAAATGTGAGACACCTTTCTATTTACTTGTGTCAGATTCCTTTCAACAATACTTGGTAGTTTTCAATGTATAAGTCTTTCATCTCCTTAGGTTTACTCCCAATTATTTCATTCTTTTTGATACTATTATAAATAAGATTATCAGGACTTCTCTGGTGGTCCAGTGTCTTAGACTCCACACTCCCAGTGCAGAGAACTTGGGTTCAATCCCTGGTCAGGGAACTAGATCCTACATGCCACAACAAAGACCTGGCACAAATCAATCAATAAATATAATTTTTTAAAAAAATTTAAACTTAGCTCTTGACTATAGCTTTAAAAAATAAAACATAAATAGGGTTGTTTTCTTATTTTCCTTTTTGGAATGGTTGTTGTTCATGCATGGAAAGATATTTGAATATTGATTTTGTACCATGCAACTTTCTGTGCAGGTTTTGTGTGTAATTTAAAAATTTTTGTGCACATAAAATCATGTCCTCTGTGAACAGACATAATTTTACTTCTTTCTTTCCAAATGGAAGTCTTTCGTTTCCTTTTCTAATCTAATGCCCTGGCTAAGACTTCTAATATTATGTTGAATAGAAGTGTTGAGAACGGGCATCCTTGCCTTTTTTTCTTGATCTTAGAAGTTTTCAGATTTTCACTGATGACTATGATGTTAGAGATAGACTTTTCATACATGACCTTTATTACATTGCAATCACTTCCTTCTATTTCTACTTTGTTGAGTTTTTTTTGTCATGAAAGTCTAGTAAATTTATTAGATGCTTTATGGACATCAGATGAAGCGCAAATGAAGTTTCATATTTTTAAAATTTTAATAAAATTATGTAATGCTCCCAGTGGAAGCATAGGAGTTGATGAAACAGAAATCACTTTCCATTTCTCCTTTGGTAATCCTTGTCCTTGTCGCTCTCTGGCTCAGAGTTCTGTGTCCTTAATTAGAATGCCCGGAGTTTGGAAACATTTACCAACCAAAACACTTATTCTCATAATTTTTCAGGTAAACCTTCTGGGATGGCCTTCAGAGGGAAGCACAGTAAACACCAGAAGGTAAATGTTTCCCAAATCCTGTTGACAAAAAAATCCTCCTCATGGATCCAGTCACAGGTGAGAATAGGAGAAAACACAGAGATCCTGGAGACTGCTGCCTTCCTGTCCTGAATCTTAAGCACAATGTCTGATATCATCACCATCTTTATAGTTAGTAAGAACAGCAACAATAGTAAGCTGTTCTATCATTACATTATTTCCAAAATATTTCAGACTTTAAGCATTTTATGTGAATAAACTTACTTAAACCTTAAAACAATCCTACAGTACCTATAAGTAGATATATAGCTATCACCATTATAGATCAAGAAACTGAGGTTAAAAAAATATTTGATTATATGTGTGGGATCACAGTATGGTGGTACAGTCTAATCCAAAGCACCTTCTCTAAACCCAATACAAACTGGTTAGAACTTCCATGGTTTTATAAAGTCTCTTTATACATCTTTATATCATTTATCTGAGAGATGTTTTCAACCTCAGTTCTTTTGTGCTGTGCTAGTGAGGGATATCTGAGGGATATCTAAGGGAAGCTTAAGGACATGTTGGGCAGTTTGTGGAGTGGATGGTCCAAGATGAAGGTGACATGATCCCTACCTCAGAGACTCCTACTCCAATAAGAGGAAGTAACTTGCAGCTCTGACAAGCCTCAGGTTTATGACTCAAAAACAACAAATAAGAAAATAACTGAAGGACTTCACACAGGTTACCTGCTTTTGAGTAGAAACTCATCATCTGGACATGATTTCAAATGCTAATTCTTGTAGGAGGAAGTAACAAGTCCTTCCTCTGAGCTCTGATTAGACAACTCTCCTGTTTGGAATCATTTGTTTAGCCTGCCCCTGTTTTGTAAGCTTTGAGAGCATAGCCCATACCCGTTAATTCTCAGAAGTCCAGGCCCAGCTCAAAGCCCCTGAGGGCCCTCTGAATGTTTTGTGAATAAATGACTCCACATTTAAACATTCATCTAGGAATAAGAAGGTCAAGGAATACTGCAGATAGTATTTGTGAGCTAGACTTCAAATATAGAAGCAGTCGAGGGGATATATTGATGGCAGGGATGTATGCTCACATTCATACTATATTAAATAGCTCACACAATGATTTGTTGAATGTTATTAAATTTCATGTCCACTATAACATTAAAAATTAGCATGTATACCAATTTATGGACCAGGAAACTGAGGAGAACCAGCTAGTTGTATAGCCTTCTTCAAGGAGAATTGATGAGACCAGCTACTTCAATTCCAAACATTGTCTCTAGGACATGGCAACCTGCAACTTTCAGCTCATTTTCTTTATTGTTTGAATGTGTTTTGTGCGGATCATCTTTTCTCTTCTCAATCTTACTGCTTTGTCACCTTATTTTCCAGATGTGTTTTGTCCCTTCTGTAATTTTCCATACTTCCTTGTCCATCAAAGGTCCACTAATTAATAGAAAACCTCACGGATTTCTCTATGAGCCCTTACCCTCTTCTTTCCCTGACCTCCAGCTATTCTCCCTGTGTTGTTTTCACTTTTATGCATAAGTTGAGGGGAAAGAATCTTAAGATATCAATTCTAGTTTTTATTTACTACCCACTTAGGTCCTTTTTTTACACTCCAATGTTCAGACCCCCCCCCTCTGCCAGGTATTTCCAAGAATTGTCAAAGTATTAACTGAAGCCATGCATGTGAAAACACTTCATACAGTCCTAAAGAACTAAAGAAATGCATGTTATCTTTTACTCACATGGAAGAGAACAACCAGGGGACCATTAAATAAGGTATCTCGTTTGAAGAAATTGCCGGGAGCAGTGAAATTGCAGAAGAAAAGTGGCTCCAAACAGGCTCAGAAACCAGTGCCCCCTCCCAGAGAAGCAAGGACCTCTGGACAGCACCCCAGACACAAAGTCGGTAAGAGAAAATTTGGGGAGTTCCTTTAATTAGTTCCTCCAATCCCTGTAGAAAAGCTAATAAGTATGGCCTAGGTGTGGGGTGTGGACTTTGGGTAGGCGTGGGTTTAAGCTGGACTGATCTGAGACATGAAGTTAGCACTGGGGCCTTGGGGAAATCTTATACATTTTCTGAGGTCCTGATTGCTCATCTGTAAAGTGAAGATGCGGACACATAACTCATCCAGTGTTTGGAAGCATTACATTAAATGCAAAAGTGCTGACACCTACAAGTAGTTCAGTAAATCCAGCTGTGATGATAGGGACCATGCTTTGTTAGTATTTATACACAGACCTCTGCTCAATGCCTTACGTGTCATGCCCTTAACATATATTTTCTGAGTAGATGTGTCAGTGAACTATTTCCTAAGTAAGAAGTTAGGGAAGTTAAACCTACTAATGGGAAGTGCAGGAAGCTAACACTGAACTGGGCATCTGTGGTCAGTGAGGAGCCTCAGTCTCCTGAACCAGTAGTTAAAGGGAGAAGAAGCAAAGTATAGAGAAGGGCCTTCCTGGTGGTTAAGTGGTTACGACTCCACACTTCCACTGCAGGAGGTGTGGCTTCCATTCCTGGACAGGGAACTAAGATCCCACATGCCATGCAGCATGGTCAATAAATAAATAATGTATCATTAAAATATAAAAATACAAAACTAAAAGTTTGAAAAATAAATGTGAAAAAGTTTTAACAAATTGTATAGATGGACAAGTAGGAGATCTCACACTTTCTGATAAAACAGGGACTACCTCTCCAGACCCCACCAGTCTTGCTTAGCTTCCGTTCTCCATCTTAGAACTCAAAAGAAAGGAGACTGAAGTGAAGAGGTACAGTCTGCGAGAGAGAAAGGGCCATGTGTACCAAGAGGACAGCGAGCCCCAGGATGATGACTACCTCTGTGAGTGACCCCGCTGGCCCACTCATGGAGAAGAGGTTATGAGACCTTTGTACAATAACCTCACCTCACCATTTGGTCCCCCAGTCATCCCCTTCCTGTATGACTTTGGGTACGGGATCAAGGCCAAAGGCCATGAATGCCCCAGTTCTTTCTGAAGGTCTTTCCAACCAGCAACATCACTATACCTCCCTCATCCCTGTTGCTCTCACCTCCAGATTGTGAGGAATGTCGGAACTTCTTCATCGACAGCTGTGCTATCCATGGGCCCCCAACCTTCATAAAGGACGCTGCAGTGGAAAAGGGGCATGCCAACCGCGCAGCCCTCACTCTGCCCCCTGGGTTAAGAATCAGACGGTCGGGCATCCCTAAGGCTGGGCTTGGAGTGTGGAATGAGGCATCCGATCTGCCGCTGGGCCTGCATTTTGGCCCCTACGAGGGTCAGATCATACACAATGAAGAGGCCTCCCACAGTGGATACTGCTGGATGGTGAGAAATAGCCCTCTTTCCCTATCCTCTGGCTCTAATCGCTTGTGTGTGATGGCGGGGGGCGGGGGTACTTATGTCTACGTGCAAGGACATGGATGGTAATGACGGTGAGCAATGACACAGTCAGCCCTGTGTACTGTGTGCACTGGGCACGACCACAGGACTTCTATCCAAAGATCAGAGGAAGGTGGGAGACAGTGGTACAGGCATACGGAAGTGACTCCTCACTTGTGGAGCCCTTGCCTTCAGTGTGCTAATAGACTCCGACTTGAAATGATGATTAAGGAGCTTACTGTGTGGTCCAACTGGCAGTTGAATCCATGCAGGCTGAAGAGCAGCAATGACAGCAGAGGGAAAGTTCTTCTATTACTTCCTACCAAAAAATAAATAAATAAAATAAAAGAGAGAAGAAAGCTTGTATCTCTTTTCTGACACTCAGGTCACAGGGAAAAACAGCTACGAGTATGTGGATGGAAAGGACAAGTCTTTGGCCAACTGGATGAGGTGAGTGCAGTGAGTTTGCAGTTTGTAGATGTCGCTCCTCCTCAAGTCCACACCACTTTCCTTCTCAGCCCATCTCCCTCAATGGCTTTCACATCTTCTTTCCTCTTTTCCCTCCATATCATGCTCTTTCATTTCAAAAGACATTAGAAAGAAAGAAAGAAAAATATAGCATGTGCTCTTAAAATGTAAGTCTATGCTCAACAAAACCGAAGTACTTGAAAACAACTTGAGGAGTCTAGATTCACCAGGGCCACTTTAACTCACTTAATTGACACTTACCAAGCACTCTATGTCCCAGTTTAGACAGTGAACTTCATTACTGAAGCAGATCACACAACCCATGTCCTTTTGGAGAACATACTGAAGACAGACATTAACCAATTGATTTTAGGAATAGTAATCTTAAGTTTTCTATTTTTGAATAATTGCACAGCACCAAGATAACCTAACATGGGAGACCTTGAGTCCATGTGGGCAACAACCTCCCCAGGCTCGGTTTCAGTGAGAAGTGGGCCCTGAGGCCTGAGAAGGAATAGGGGGCAGGATGGCTGTGAGCATGGCCGTTCACTGAGGGCCTCTCCTTTCATCAGGGCAGGCAGAAAGTGAATAAACTATTACGGTTCTGTGTCTCAAGCTATGTCAGAGCACTTTCCATTTTTCCATGGGAGGGGGTGGGCAAGTGAATAGGACCCTGGATACAGGTGGGGAGATTGGAGAAAAGCCTCTGGAGAGAAGGCAGGCTGGGGTGAGTGCTGAGGGCTGCATGCTAACCTAGGAGTACCAAGTCCTGTGGAATGAAAGAGAACTTAATTTAGAGTTTAGAGGAACTGGAGGTCACCAGTCTTACGGACAGTCCAGGTGGAGACAAAAGCATTCCATCCAGGGAGAGGACCTAGGAATTCACACAGCCAGGTTGAAGGTGTGAACAGAAGGTCCCCGTGAGGGGCGGTGGGAACCATGGTGGCCTCAGAGCTGAAGGCAAGGAGTTGGGCGTGGTCCGACAGTGGAGGGATCTCATCACCTGTGGTTTCTTTCCCTTTCCCGGCCTTGACTCCAGGTATGTGAACTGTGCCCGGGATGATGAGGAGCAGAACCTGGTGGCCTTGCAGTATCATGGGAAGATCTTTTATCGAACCTGCCAGGTGGTCAGGCCAGGCTGTGAGCTGCTGGTCTGGTACGGGGACGAGTATGGCAAGGAACTCGGCATCACGCAGGACAGCAGGGGGAAGAGCAAGCTCTCGGCCAGGAGAGGTGAGCACCACCCCTCTTCCAGTGCCCCACCCCATCCTGGCGAGCTTCCCTGGTCCGATCCTGAAGCAGAGTCCAGTCCAGTCTAAAGTCAGTCAAGTTGCAATTAAAATGCCTCAGAATTTGATTCATTTCATAAGACTGTTAGGAAAATATTTATATTAAAAATATTAGTTCTACTGCCATATGACCCAGCAATCCCACTTCTGGGCATACACACCAAGGAAACCAGATCTGAAAGAGACACGTGTACCCCAATGTTCATCGCAGCACTGTTTATAATAGCCAGGACATGGAAGCAACCTAGATGCCCATCAGCAGACGAATGGATGAGGAAGCTGTGGTACATATACACCATGGAATATTACTCAGCCATTAAAAAGAATTCATTTGAATCAGTTCTAATGAGATGGATGAAACTGGAGCCCATTATACAGAGCGAAGTAAGCCAGAAAGATAAAGACCATTACAGTATACTAACACATATATATGGAATTTAGAAAGATGGTAACGATAACCCTATGTGCAAAACAGAAAAAGAGACTCCTATGTATAGAACAGACTTGTGGACTCTGGGAGAAGGCGAGGGTGGGATGTTTCAAGAGAACAGCATTGAAACACGTATATTATCTAGGGTGAAACAGTTCACCAGCCCAGGTTGGGTGCATGAGACAAGTGCTCGGGCCTGGTGCACTGGGAAGACCCAGAGGGATTGGGTGGAGAGGGAGGTGGGAGGGGGGACCGGGATGGGGAATACATGTTAAAAAAAAAAAAAAAAAGATACACTATGGTTGTGATAAAAAAATTAATTAATTAATTAATTAATTAAAAAATATTAGTTCTAATTTTCAATATTTCATGCAAAAAATCTGTAACATCACCTTCTGCTGAAAGGCTTAGAAGCAAAAAGCAAGTTTTCTGGCACCTACCAGCTCTCTCCCCTTTATCAGTTTCTTCCTCATTTCCTCCATATTTCTAAGCGACATGCATACAGTTATTTGCACTCAGTTACTGTTTCAGTTTGTTGTCATGTGAGTTCATACTCTGACAGACAGAGCTCCATGCACTGAAACATACAGAACCACTGCCTTGGGGCAGCATGGGCTTCATACCAGACAGGGACTGGTGCTCTGAGGGAAACCAGTGCAGAAAAAGTGCCTTGGATCAGCATTAGCAGAGAGTGGGGTGTGGCGGATGATGGTGGGGCAGGGTCTCTGTAGAGATAACACCTGTGGATTCCAGGAATCCAGACAGGGGAGCAGCCAGTGCTGCAGCATCAGGGCCGGGAAAAGAGGCCATGCCAGTGGTTGCAAGAGGAAGCACAGAGGGAAAGGAAGGAGGCTGGATGGAACATGGAAGCCTCAGAGCCCATGTCCACGTGCAGGCCCCAGGGGTCTTCCTGGGTGACACAGAACAACCATGTGGCTATCAGCTGCAAGCAGCATGTTCTCTGTGCTAAGATGATGCTTCGGTTCATTTTTGGGAGGAGACAGCAGCAGGGAGTCCCCTCAGAGGTCAGTTCATTGCCAGACTTGAGGGGAGAGTGGGCTGGGTGAAGATGCATGGGAGTGAGGGTGTGAAGAGTCTGGCTGGAAATGTATTTTTAAGCAGGACTTCCTAGTGCACGTTAAGTGGACTAAGACTGAGTGAAATAAAAGAGGTATGAATACTGGTGAGGCTTGAGAAAGGACATGTCTTTTGTTTTATGATGTATAGAAAACCGAGAAAGGAGCAATTTGTGAACCAACTGGGGCAGCAGGAGCCAGAGACCTGTAGTCAGTGGGACCTGGGCCTCTTGGTCTCATCCAGTCTCAAACTCACTTCCTGCAGAGTGGTTTCTTTGAAAGGTTGCTCTTTGAACAAGGAGCCTCAAATTCAACTTTGCTCACACCTGCTCTAACCACCCCTCTGCTGCCTCCCATATGCAGAGAGCTCCAGGCCAGGCGCCCCAAACGTAATATACCCTTTCCCCTCACAGGGAGCCATTCAGGAAGATTCCACCTAAGTCATCAAAAGTCTTATATCTCAGTAGGGTAAAATACCTGTGACCACTGTGACATGACTTTTCATATACTTACACACAGGGAGAGGTCCCTGCAGATCCACCTCTATCAGGAGAGACGCTGCCTCTGATGCTACTGAAAGGTCCCTAGTCTGGGTGGTATGTAGAAAAGGCCCTTGATGCAAGCTTCCTGGATTTCTGCAGATGTAGAGAATAAGAATGGAATGGAAAAGTGGACTGGAAAGACACACTTGATGGGAGACAAATCGTGCATTGTCAACACTAAGATGATTACTGGGGCAGGCTTTACCATGGCAAACCAGCTACCTGACTAAAATCTTCCTCTTTCAGCAGAACCAAAGCCCAAGATCCACCCATGTGCCTCCTGCTCTCTGTCCTTCTCCAGTCAGAAATTCCTCAGCCAACATGTCCAACACAGTCACCCCTCTCAGATCCTCCTGAGACTATCTTCAAGAGACCACCTCCAACCAAAGGATCCCTGCCCAGGCAATCAAATTCAGCAGGAGCGATGTTCTGGTCCACACAGCCCGAGTGACAAACCAGAGGGTCGAGAGGCCAAGGAAAGGCCCCATCCTTTGCTGAAAGGCCCCAAACTTTGCCTAAAGCTGAAGAGGATTTCAATGGCCTCTTCCTATTCACCCAAAGGACAAATGGGGGGTTCTGAGGTGCATGAGAGAATGGCAGAAGAGCCCAGCACAAGCCAGAAACTGAATCCAGAGGACACAGGCAAATTACTCATGGGGGCAGGGGTCTCAGGGATTATAAGAGTCAAGTACGGAGAGCATGGGCAAGGCTCCAAGGATAGGTCAAGTATAATCACACATGAGAGGACACACACAGGGGAGAAGCCCTATGTTTGCAATGAGTGTGGGCAAAGCTTCAGGGCGAGGTCAAGTTCAACCAGGCATAAGAGGACACACACAGGGGAGAAGCCCTATGTTTGTGGGGAGTGTGGGAAAAGCTTCAGCCAGAAGACCCATCTCATCACACACCAGAGGACACACACAGGGGAGAAGCCCTATGTTTGCGGGGAGTGTGGGAAAAGCTTCAGCCAGAAGACCCATCTCATCACACACCAGAGGACACACACAGGGGAGAAGCTCTATGTTTGTGGGGAGTGTGGGAAAAGCTTCACTCATAAGTCAAATCTTAATCGACATCATAGGACACATACAGGGGAGAAGGCCTATGTTTGTGGGGAGTGTGGGAAAAGCTTCAGCTGGAAATCAAGTCTCATCGCACACCAGAGGACACACACAGGGGAGAAGCCCTATGTTTGTGGGGAGTGTGGCAAAATGTTCAATGAGAGATCAAATCTCAGAAAACACCAAAGGACACACAGGGGATAAGCCCTATGTTTGTACGGAGTGTGAGTGAGTCATGACCAATAAACGACATCCTGGCCACAGGAGGATTACTGCAGCCACCCCATGCCTCAGCTCTAAGGGGTCCTCAGAGCAGGTTTATGACCCATTACTGTCCCAAAAAGTATGAGGAGAAACTTCCCAGGTGGCCCAGTGGCTTCTACTCCAATGCATAGACCCATGTTCAATACCTGACTGGGGAACTACCTCCCACATGCGGCAACTGAGACACAGTGCAGCCATGTAAGTAAATACATAAACAAATATTTTACAGAAACAGTGTGATGAGCACAGAATTAATTGATTAAATAGACCTTCCACTTTCATGACAGGAGAGGAGGTAGATAAACAGCACATGGTTTCTTTTTTTTTTTTTTTAGCACTCAGATTTCTTTTATTTTTTATTTATTTTTTTTCATTTATTTTTATTAGTTGGAGGCTAATTACTTTACATCATTGTAGTGGTTTTTGTCATACATTGAAATGAATTAGCCATGGATTTACATGTATTCCCCATCCCGGTCCCCCCTCCCACCTCCCTCTCCACCCGATCCCTCTGGGTCTTCCCAGTGCACCAGGCCCGAGCACTTGTCTCATGCACCCAACCTGGGCTGGTTATCTGTTTCACCCTAGATAATATACGTGTTTCGATGCTGTTCTCTTGAAACATCCCACCCTCGCCTTCTCCCAGAGTCCACAAGTCTGTTCTATACATAGGAGTCTCTTTTTCTGTTTTGCACATAGGGTTATCGTTACCATCTTTCTAAATTCCATATATATGTGTTAGTATACTGTAATGGTCTTTATCTTTCTGGCTTACTTCGCTCTGTATAATGGGCTCCAGTTTCATCCATCTCATTAGAACTGATTCAAATGAATTCTTTTTAATGGCTGAGTAATATTCCATGGTGTATATGTACCACAGCTTCCTCATCCATTCGTCTGCTGATGGGCATCTAGGTTGCTTCCATGTCTTGGCTATTATAAACAGTGCTGCGATGAACATTGGGGTGCACGTGTCTCTTTCAGATCTGGTTTCCTCGGTGTGTATGCCCAGAAGTGGGATTGCTGGGTCATATGGCAGTTCTATTTCCAGCTTTTTAAGAAATCTCCACACTGTTTTCCATAGTGGCTGTACTAATTTGCATTCCCACCAACAGTGTAAGAGGGTTCCCTTTTCTCTACACCCTCTCCAGCATTTATTGCTTGTAGACTTTTGGATAGCAGCCATCCTGACTGGTGTGTAATGGTACCTCATTGTGGTTTTGATTTGCATTTCTCTGATAATGAGTGATGTTGAGCATCTTTTCATGTGTTTGTTAGCCATCTGTATGTCTTCCTTGGAGAAATGTCTGTTCAGTTCTTTGGCCCATTTTTTGATTGGGTCATTTATTTTTCTGGAGTTGAGCTGGAGGAGTTGCTTGTATATTTTTGAGATTAATCCTTTGTCTGTTGCTTCGTTTGCTATTATTTTCTCCCAATCTGAGGGCTGTCTTTTCACCTTGCTTATAGTTTCCTTTGTTGTGCAAAAGCTTTTAAGTTTCATTAGGTCCCATTTGTTTATTTTTGCTTTTATTTCTAAAATTCTGGGATGTGGGTCATAGAGGATCCTGCTGTGATTTATGTCGGAGAGTGTTTTGCCTATGTTCTCCTCTAGGAGTTTTATAGTTTCTGGTCTTACATTTAGATCTTTAATCCATTT